AGGCTTGTTGTGACGAGCCACCTCTGACAATGGAATGCCACCGCTGGAGTTGGGGATGTCCAACGGCACGTCATGCATATGAGCATGGGCCTTGGCACAAAATCTGTAGCCTACAGGCCTACAAAGCCTTCACGCCTAACAGATTGACAATCACTCTCAGGTTCGCAGCATCAAAACAAGGCCAACTTGAAAGCACTACTAGGCAAAGAGACCCGGTCAGAGAGAATCTTCTCAATCTCCTTCTTCACATCCAAGGCCTTCGTGTAGTCCTTCCAAGTGTGACCGCGTCACAACGCTCATGTGTTTCTCAAAGGTCGACTGGCTGGAAACAACTTAAGCTCAAAGATTTTGCCAGCCTCCGAGTCCAAAGCTGCTCTCTTCTGGGTCTCCAACCGCTGCAGCTTAATCTTCAGCTGAGGGTCCAAGTTCCTGAAACTCTGAATGTTGCCATTTGCCCCAAAGAGATCCCAAAGCAACGGCATCACATTGGCTCGTGCATTCCAAGAAAAACAGGCATAGCTGTTTGCTGCCCCTCTAACCAACTAAAACAAGTAGCTTGTCTTGCAGGAGGCGAGGGAGGCTGTCAGCCTTGTGACCATCTTTTGCTGTTTCGCTCAGAACGCGGTCGATCTCCTCACGAACCTCCACAATGCGCGCCTGTCACTGTCAAGAAGTCACAAAGAGCAGCAAAGAGCCCTATTAAAAGCAGAGGGTCGAGAAAGCTTTGTTGTGACTAGCAAGGGCTAGATAGGACTAAGATCTTCGTCAAAGGAATCCGCCAAATGCTTTGCCTCTCGAAGGGTGTGCCAGAATTCATCAGACATAAGGTCGCCGTCCACACCCAAGTTGCCCAAATGAGACTCTGGGCGCAAGTAGGAATCAATCCTTGTGGCCCACAAGACAACTTGGACATTTCTGAAAGTTCTACCAAAAAAGGGAGATGTTGTCAGCCGAAAAGGGTGGAAAAAAAGAAAGAGGGACCTGCATGGGAAGATTTGAAGTTCCGAGTGCATACAGTACACAGCTTCAGCGCCAAGCGTCTTGACGCCCTTGTGGATCTCGTTGAAAAACTTGGACGCGTCCTTTCCAGCCCACGCCACAATGGTTGTAGGGCCGCCCGGATGTCGATCCATGAATTCTGAGAGGTCGTAGACCTCCAACGGAAAGGTGTCAGGAAGCATCTGGAAAATGAGGATGCAAAACGAGAAAAAACACAGCGGAGCACCAAGGTCTAGCCTTTCCATTCAAAGCAACCCAGCAATCCTCTGGGATGCAGTGCCGGTTCACCTTGCAGCTTGGCTCAAGCCACTGCTGTCCCCTACTTGAGACCGTTCAAAGCTATTCCTTCATATTCCTTCATCTCTTCAATGCCCATACTCTAAGGAGTTAGAGTTAGTTCTGCAACCGTAGGCCGTAGGCTATCCACCACCACTATGCGCGCTCGAAAAGCAACAAATACCGTCTACCTCTTGAAGCTGACCACAAGAGCTCCCTCCAGGTGCCTCCGAGAGAGGAATGTTCTTGGAGATAGCACCCGTTGGCTTGTGTGCGAGGTGGAAGCCCTCGCCACAAGCACTCTCAGCCAAAGCAATCTACAAGCAAACATAAGTTCGGCTAAGTTCGTTCAGTCTGATGCAAGTTGCTCCCACACAAGCTGAAGCACGCCCTGACCCAGAGCCAGTCCCGCCTCTGGGTCGGTAGACGGATGCATATCATTCGGGGCCATGGCTGGAGTCTAGCCAGCAGGAGACTTATGAGGAACACAAATCACAAATCTTGGAACTGATTGCTGCTAAAGCGGCACCAGTAGCAGACACCACACAAGTCAACCGAAATTCTTTACGCTCAGAAAATGCCCGTGCAGCTAAGAATGCCCATGCAGCTCGTGCAACAAAGCAGGAGCACCCAGGACAGTCTTCCGCAGCAAACCTTCCACCTCCTCCTGAGATGCGCAAGATTGGACACGTCGGGAGTCTGCGACTTGCGCTGGAAAACATGACTTCTTGGATGTGTGTGTGTGTGTAAATGATACTTTAGCACTGCCAGGTGCAATACACCCAAAATAGAATATACCGTGTGTCCTGTGCACACGGACTTGATATTTGCCTCCATGCAGGCTCGGAATTGTTTCAAAGTTCCCCCCCCAAAAAAATAATACTTTCGGAATGGAACATGATGAAATCTCCTGCAATGAGCAAAGGCAGGAAGGCCAAATGTGATCACCAATAGTTTTAGCCTTAGAGAGTATATACACACTTGGCGCAGTGAGTCCAGTTGCCACATCCTGAGGTTCCTACCAATTGCAGATTGGAACCGCGGTCAATTCCACACAGCCATCTCTATGATGAGAGCAGTTGGTTCGTTCTGAGGTTGAACGAAAATTATTCATTCACACCAGAAGTGTCGCTGTGCTTTTGAGTGCCGGTTGAGAATGTATTGGCTGCGCGGCCGCCAAACCTAACATGTTTGACTCGAGTTGTTCAAGCCTTGCATTTAAGGACCCAGGCCAGCAAAAATTGATTGAATCAGTCGCAACTTCTGGCTTGGGCATGCTCGTGCAAGATTGCCATGAGCATTACAATTTTGACGCCTGATTGCAAGCCGGCTGAACTAGTCCGAAGCTAATGCAGCTAATGGCCCTTGCGGCGCATGGCCGCCACAGCCTCAGTCATTTCGTCGCGCTTCTTCTTTCCACGGCGGTGAGTTCCAAGCCTTTTCTTGGCTAACTTCAGGGCACGCTTGAAAGTGGCGGCGGAGCCAATCTTGAGCAGCTCAATCATTCGCCTCTCATATGGCGCAAAGCCCACAACCTCACGGACTACCTCACGAATCAGGCCCACTTTGCCTCCCCGCTTGCCCTTGCGGTAGGAAGGCTTAGTCTTCAATGGCCTTCGGGTCACAATGAAACCCTTGTTCAATCCGGCAGCAAGGCCAGTTGCTGCTGGCTTCTCATAGCCATCCTTTGCCATTGTTCAGCTCTCCAGCTCTATGAAACCGGGTTGCTCTCAGGACTTAGCAGTCTCTTGAGCCAAGCAAAAAGGGTAGATGATGCTCAGATCAAACCCAGAATGTCTTGGAAATGGTCCAATTGAAAGGTATGCGCGCAAGCTTCAATCTGATTACAAGCCAGACTAAAGTTCATCAATCACAAGTACCGACAAGCTGCTCTATGTGCTTCAAGCTGGTGAATCTCACCAACTCTTGCACTTCGGCTCGTTGCTTGTCCTTTCCGATCGATGTCGTGGTTATCTGATCCTGTAACTTATATCATATACGGTACCATGTTGAATGGCCTTGTTCAAATCAAGACCATTCACACAGGCTTAACTCACGACCCTTTCACCCTTCACAAAAACTAGACTCCTCTGCTTTGCAACTTTGACAAGGACACTCGTGTTGAGGTTGATCGCGGTTCAAACTCTTTAAGACAGTGGGCCTTTCTTTCAAGAAACTTGGAGTCAAATCGGAGCAGAAACTATACAATGTGAGATCGAGCAAGTACCACCCTTAAATGCATCCCACTCGTCTTGCACAAAACTCTGTTCGTCTGCTGCCCACATGGGCGCAAGTGACGAATCTAAGCTGGGGAACAATTCAATGAACTCTGTCGGTTCAAAAATGTACACATATACCATTTGCGAGCTTCGTTTGCATGCACAATGCGAAATGTTGCTTGACTTCGCTTGAAACTGCAAGAATTACAGCTCTGCACTACTAGCTCTTCTGTCACATGGAAAACAAGTGAGCTTTTCTTGAGGCCTTCAAATGAATGGCGATACCTTCTTGACCACACCTCGACCCTGAGTCCAATGGTAGAAGGTGGTGTAGCCAAGGTGGAAGGGAAGCCAAGCGAATTGCAAGAACTTGCCCAGCAACTTGTGGGCGTCAATGGACTGCTTCGCCAGCCTGTCATTCCTCTTGTCATCTTCCGCATTTCCAGTCTTGTCAGAGCCCGGAGCCCACTTCAAGAAGTATTCGTTGGCAATGCCGGACACAGGCAACAAGAGAGCAAGGACATAGAAGGCACGAAGGCTCTGTGTCTCCAGCATTTGGACCATGGGATTTCCTGGGAAGCGGGGAGGAATGCCGCTCTGCATACGAAGGAAGAAGCGCACAACAAGGGCAAAGAGCATCGCAAGGCCGGTCTGCTTGTGCCACCACAGCATCTGTTTCCTGGTCTGCCCTTCTGAGTAGGAGGCGGCCTGAGCTGTTCCAACTGCTCCAAAGATTCCCACGGCCATGATGAGATGTAAGTGTCGCAATGCTCGGCTGTAGGTGAACTGTGACAAAGGCTTGGTGTTTTGCAAGGTCTTGTAGAGATACCATGCTACAGCCCCGACCGCAATATCTGTGGCCTTGTACTTCATGTATCGGCCCACCTCAGATGTCTCCTCGCCAACCACCTGAGCAACTGTGGCCTCCGCTGACCAGTCGGTGTTCTCTCCTGGCACCAATTGACCAACCAACATGTCCCGGTCACGCTGCACCCGAGCCTTCTCCGAATGCTCGAAGACCTCAAAGTCCTTGGTTGCATCTGTACCAGCTTTGTTCAACAAAATGTCGTCACCTCCTGGATGGCTTCCGATCAAAGGCTTCAAGTTGTAAACACGGTTGTGGATGATCATGTACGGCTCATCGGCGGTGGTGTGCTTCGCAACTTCTGCACGAGTGAAGAAAGGAAGCTCCTTCCCAGCTGAGATTTCTGCAAGCTTTGGAAAGCGAGCCTCCTCAGAGAGGGTTGGCGCATCTGTCTTACCTGGGACCTTCACTGCTGTCTTTGCTGCTTCAATGTCCTCCTTGGAGGGGCCCTCAAGCCTGCGCAACTCATCATGCAGCTGCTTCAGTTGCTCGTAGACAGCGTCCCTTTTTGGCTCAGCACCGACATCGCCCATCTTCCATTCGCTTCGCATGAAGAAATCCATCCACTGCTTGCTAGGGAAACGTCCAGGGATCTTGTCCCACATCGCAGTCGCATCTCTGCCAGCCCAAGCGAGGATGGAATTGCGCTGTTCTGGATGATGGATCAGGAAATCCGTGAGGTCATAGACATTCTTGTTGATGGCTATCCAGCAATCATGAGGCTTGTTGTGACGAGCCACCTCTGACAATGGAATGCCACCGCTGG